GAGTCAATCCAGCTAGAGGTATTAAGGATTATTACAGGATTGTGTAGAGTGACCTCTCATTGTAAGCTTTATGCAGAAACTGGACATGAATCACTTTGTTGTAGGCGAAAAAATCATAAATTAGTACTTATATGTTCAAAATTTTAAATAATGAATCGCCTAAGTACATAAAAGACATCATTGAACCATACCTTTACACCTATCTAAATGTAAGATACCCACTAAGAAATAGCCGTATTTTCAACCCCCCTTTCTGTAGCACTGAGAATTATTTCAATAATTATTTTTCCTCAACGTGTAGAGAATTTAACCTTCTATCTGCAGAAACTTTAAATGCTACTTCCCTTCAACAATTTAAAAATTTCATCAAGTCTGATAATATGAACAACACTAATCATTAAATACTATGGGCCAAGAAAATTCAAAATCATAATTTGTCAGCTAAGAAATCATGCTAGCAACCTAAATGGTGACTTATATATGGGTCATCTGACTGATACACCAGCATGTAGATGTGGACATGAAAATGAAAATGCATTTCATTTTATAAGTGAATGCCCAATCTATAACAACTTTAGGATGCAATTAAAAATAAAAATAAATCTCATTTTGGTATAACTGATAATCGTGATCAATTTAATCTAAAAACTCTATTAAATGGGTGTTTAATATGACGCATTGATATCAACAAATCCATTTTACAAAGTATATCTGACTATATTTGTCAAACTAATAGACTTGATATGTAATCTCACTCACAGCTTAACTTTACAATGAAAGTGATGCTAATATTTATAGTGTCATGATCACTCTGTTAGTATTTATACTGGTGCATATACATTTTGTATATCTATCTTCACAACATCTCTGGTATTCGGCTGGACTGGATGGAATTTATGAATGTACTATTTTATAACCTGTCCTAACTATTTGATAGTATGAATATTCTGTAGTGCGTTGTTAAATATTTCTTAAGAGAATCAACTCCAATAATAGATAATAATAACTACATTTTTCCTTTATGAATCCATATCATATTCTGAAATTTTACAAAAATTGTATTTCTTGGTAATTTATACTATATATTCCAGTGGGTGGATGGCCAATGTGTTTATACACAGGGACCTTTGGGCCTGTATCCCTTCGATTTAATGCAGGATGGATTGTCAACAAAGGTACATGATTTATTTTAATGTTAATATCCAAAACATAAAAAGAAAATGATTGAATTCAAGTTGATTTTTTTTTCTCTTTCACAAGCTAAATTGGAGTTATCTCCCCTGCACTGTTTAATTGGATTGTTATGACAGAATATATGTAATATTTGTAAATAAGTTTGGAAAGGACTTAAATAGGACTAGCCTGATTTCCAATCCAATAAAGTCAATAAAATCTGTTGAAATTGTTTTTTTTTTTAATGTAGTATGTGTATTGCATAGCAGCTTCATTTTCAGGCGCATAGTTCCTATCCTAGGCACCCGCTAAGCTAATACTTCCATGTGCCCGTGTCTCTATGTGTACTCACGAAATATTGATGAACCATTTTGTCTACTTCAAAGAACATCTTCATAATGATTCTATGATGCTACTTCACACGCTTTAACACTCTGTTGCATTGATGTCGTCACCCCGATATTGTAGATATCCGGGATGACTATCAAGCTGCTGTATATGTATATGACTTCTTGGCTAGGGGCCGTTCCTTAAGAACTGAAAAAAAATTCTTACGTAAACAAACTAATTTCGTTTAGATTGGACATTTGTTTTGGTTTATTATCAAAGTGTCAGACTTTTTCGCTATAATCTTGTACATAAAGTATTCTTTTACGATGTTAAAAGCAGTAATGCATTTTAATGAAGCAGGTGTTTTGACATTTAAATCTCTTTTTCTTCCCTTTGTTACTCTTGGTTTCCAGGATTATCTTTATAAGCAGCACTCAACCTAGGTAATTGTAATTGGAAATGTATTATAGGAAAACCATTCTAATTTTATACTACAAGTATTGAAGTTAAATTCTGGGATTAATAACTCGACCAGATTCACCTATACATCAGTCTGTGTGTAGTTAGCCGTCTCTGTTTGTAATATTGTAAGTAAATATCGAAGTGAGTGACAGATGCAAAATAGTTAATATTATCTTAAAATTCTGATTCGGAAGAATATAGATAAATCTATATAAATTGAACTTAAAAATAAATCTCGTCACTGTACAGGTTTTTAAAGTTAAATTGAATGGCTCTTCCAAGCCCTGCGGTATATCCGGCAGACATTCATGTAGTCGGTAAAGAGACGGTCATATCTATATTCAAACGTTTTACTATTTTGTCCTTGGTTAATTTCAACCGGTCGTTTTTTCACAAAATATCCGCCAAAATATTTTGCAATCACAATTCTTTTATCGCCGTCTATTTTTGTATCAACGAAATTTCGCAAAATAAGATAACGAAGAACTTCAATAATTTTTGACTGATGTATGGAAGGAAGGAACGGATATTCTGATAACAGAAACATTTTTTGGAGAAAGGATTCTGAAGAATGTTTAAATGATTCTATGACTACATCAAACTCGACATTTGTGTTAAATGTTATTCTGAATCAAAATGTCCACCACATTGGTGACATTGAATTTATTAATATCAATAGAGCCACACTAGGGCTCTTAGCATAAAATCCATAATATATTGAAAACTATATGAAAAATTGCATAACTCAGTAGCTGCCTCCACACACGCATGGCAGCCACTACTACAAACTATAACAGCTAGCCCAATTGATTTCTGCGAGCCGGCTGCCCCAACCCTGTTAGTTAGGGGAGGTAAGTTTACTCAATGCTCTGACCAGTCGGCAAGTGTTGTCTCACTTTAACATAAACTAGTAACAACCTGCCAGGTTACAAATTATATACATCTAATGATACCCAGTACAAAGTAATCTTGGACATTATTTAACACTACACCTGTACAACCTACGCTCCTCTAATATAAAGAAACAAAATATTGACGACGACAGAAAGGGTGGGAAGAGGTGGGCTTACAAATTTATTATCCCGAGAGCTTGATGAGCGTACAAATACAGGGGCTGTCTGATGCGGGGATATGTCCCAGGGTGAGATAGCATCACCTCTGACCCATTGACCAATCAGTGACCAGCCTCTGAAAACCTGACGCTGGCATCGGCAGACAATCATTGAACCGTTTATTGTGACACCAATTCAAGCTCCAACATTTTAATTAAAATAACAGTAAATCTTAAAAACTTGTTATGACGTTACGAGCATAATTTAAGCTAATTACTTAGCTGCCTTCTATTCTACCAATAGAGTTCAAAACAAGTATTATTGCATTTAAAACAAAAATCTTACCAGTGTGGTGAAAACTAATCGAATAAACATATTGTATTTATTAACTTCCGTTTTCTTTTGCATCCTCGATGTGAAATGCATGCTTGAGTAAAACTGATCTTTATAACTATATCCAGTTGAAACACATAGGTGATGTGGAGAGTGTCTAGCTTGGTGATTGACAATGAGGGCGGGGTATGGATAAACCGAACTACTTGGTAGTGAGCGAACGTATGTTTATCGTCTGCTGGATAATCGAACTACTCGGTAGTGAAGCGGGCGTATAAACGCTCAAACAAACAAACAAACTTCAATATGTGACCGAAGCTTCACGAGAAAATTTCAATGACAGGGTATGCCTGAATAAAACTGTTAACCATTGCGATAGCTCAATCGAAAGTATGACACACATTATAAGGGCGGGACACCGTGAAGCATCGGATCAACTGTTAAATCACATTTATGACATCATCCTTTATTCTCATTGTACTATATATAGTAGAATGTACAATGAAGTACCTGCAGTTGTTTATTATTAAATCGTAGCTGTCCATTATTAAACACACTAATGGACAGCTACTGGTACTTTATTGTACATTCTACTATATAATGTACAATGAGAACAAAGGATGAGGTAATAAAAATAATTCCAAACACCAGCAAATTTTAGAAGAAAATCCACAATGTATTAACACCGTATGGCTTTACTATATACAGTGTATGTACTTTTAAATATGATAAAAATTAACAATAGATACTTATATCTGACCTAGAAATAATCCAGCTGCCCTTATCACTGTTGAAATTTGCTGAGGAGAAAGTCTTAATAAATTAATCCAACACAATGCTGTAAAACTTACTTGAAGAGAGAATACAGTTATACAATACTTATTTTAAGATATGCATATTGATGGAAAAGGAAACCCAAATCTTCATTCAGGAATAATGCAACAGATCTTCACACACAATTATCCTTACTAAGATGTAGAAACAATCCAATAGACATTTCCTGAGATAATTTAACTGGTACCAGTATTGGTGTAGGTGATATGTGATGTTTGATTTGATTTACCCTCTGCTTCAGGAATTTTTATATTTGTTTTTCGTGATGCATGCAATTCAAGTGCCATTTTGATTTACTGTTCTCTGTTCAAATGTGTTGTTTTAATGTTAATCAACATGTTTTTATATTAAAATCTACCAAAATGATGTTTAAACTGATATTGATATTACAGGCCTCGATGAGTATATACTCTCACAGAATGGACAGTTTGAGACCTTTCTCCTTTACAGGAATATATTGTGCACAATAACAAAATTTACCCAACACGCGAAATTAAGGTACACACTACTTATCATACGTCTTAAACCTTCAAGCCTCATTGCACTTTTGTGCAATTGATGTTGATACTGGCCTGCGTTTCTAAGCTCACGATCCATTAAGCTGACATTGAGTCATTTAAAATTACAACATGAGATTTAAATCAAAACCGAAACCAAAATACACGGGTTTCTAAGCTCACGATCCATTAAGCTGACATTGAGTCATTTAAAATTACAACATAAGATTTAAATCAAAACCGAAACCAAAATACACGGAACGTTTATTAGAAATGCATTACTGGTTTCACTGAAATACAATTTTTCTATTTATAGATGAGATAAGCAATGATAAAGGAGTTTGTATTTTTTCGTAGGAGGTTCAGACGTCAGGAAGTATTGAAGATATAATAAGGAAGTATGTGTTTTACATAGGAGGTTCCTACAGTAATAAGCTGGGTGAGTATATCTTTATTAATAGAGGTATAGGTATCATAGGTAATAACGACAGTATGATCAAATATGGACACTGACTTGATCCGAACAAACAAATGTTGGTTAGATATGTATTACTTAAATAGATATATGGACAAACAAGTAATAACGGCAGTGCAGACACAGAAATTTGTCAAATGGTCAGAGCAATCCGCCCCTTTTTCAAAACAGAAACACTTACACTTACACATCACAACATATATCAGACCTATATTGATAGAGGTATGTATACATGTATTTATCATACCATAAATATCTACAGTAGTAAATCAGTCACTTATCTTTCTGTCAATAAGAAATCACTAGAGCTCGAGTGAGATTTTAACTAATATATAAACAATGATAATATACATGTATACAGGTGAAAAACACAACATGTATACTGCATTATATCATTAAGTGTTTTAAGAAAGTATGTATTATTGCAAATTTAATTATATTCGCTACGACACTTGCATATATTGTTAACGTGGCTATCACCATATAGGTAAACCTTTATATCTACTGTACTTTGTCGCTTTAGCGGAAGACCAGCTGTTTTGATATACATTCGAACAGGAAGTTATTTTGCTGTCGTGACTGTAATCATGGCGGAAGGATGGCCTGAACATATAGAAAATATCAACAAGAATTGTATCAGTGGACTTCAGGAATATGCTGCCAAGAGAGGTTTAGAGGTTCGATATGAAACGTATCCTAGTCAGGGAGGGTAAGTATGCATCACAACATCTTTTTATACGGGGGTTATTTTTCTATTTACATGTACTTGTTTTATACAAACGTTTCCTTTGAATAACAAAAGCAGCCGATACAATTATATCTTATTGTCAATATAGATGGACAAATACTAAATATATTTATGAAGAAGTTGACGGAAAGGCAGATATACCATAATAAAGCAAAAAACAATTACAAGCTTTTTAAAGTGATTTTAAGTTTGACGATGTTGTATGTCTTTTAAACATCCTCAAACTAACATTTACAAAAATAGGAAAATAAACTATTTCACACTATTTATACAAAAAGGTTTCAACATGACTTAATTTTTGTAAATGTGTAACTATATAAGATACATGTCCAACAAAATGGGAACATACAGATGTTTTTATGTCAAGTAGTACAGTTATATTCTTGTCTGTTGATATAAAATATGTAAATGAAGAAGCAGAATTTATCCCATAGTCCTGACGATGTTGATGGCAATTTGATGAAATTGGTCACGGAATATATTTGAAATGAATATTCTTTTCAAAAATGTTTCCTTACAGGGTTTGCAGTAGAGACGAACATCTCACTTTGAACTCTGTAAACCTGATGAAATGACAATGGCAAGTGACTTGGTCAATTTTCTTGTTATTTCAGATTTGGATGTAAAGTGTATTTTGAAAAGTTGATTGCAAGTGGAACAGGAAATAGGAAAAAAGAAGCAGAGGAGGCGAAAGCGGACCGGGCTCTCCGGTCCCTTTACAAAAACAGTGGAACAAATCAGGTCGTATCACAATGCTCACCTCAGCGTTATGTGAACATTCAAATCATTTCTTTGAAATAAGGGATAGAGGTTTGATACATTGTATATAAACCTATAATAATCTGCTGACTTTAACTAAATCACTTCAAATAACGTTGTGGCAACTGTTGACGCTACTTGGTGTCTGGATGAATATTTGATTTCAAAATGAATTAAAGGAATTAGTATAGTTTTCACTAGTGTGGTACCAGTGATGTTTTAGGTTTGTTAGACATTGAAATATATGGCTAATGACCAAATCGTTATATATGGCTCAATCCCTATTAATGTAAAAGACAGAGCACGTTCTTTTACTTCACTTCCCATTTTAATCTCTTTAGAATTGGGTATTGGTAATGCTAAATATTAGTTATTATTTCATAATGACCCATCATTCACATGTATATACAACATCTTCAAGACCAGACTTGATGCACTAGCACATCATTTATTTGAATAAATCAGTTAGACTCTTGATGCATGTACATATAATATGAATGTTACATAAGACATGGGTAAAAGTTAAATGAATCAATTTTATTGATTATTTATGATAGAGGCTCTACATGATATTGTAGATGATAGTTATTTAAATTGGGGGTTGTTTTATACATTATCTTAAGGGACGTTTCAATAAAGACATACTTTATTTCATCCGATGAGTGGTTGTTTCACATGCACATAGTATGTTATCAAATGCATTTGTCGGATTGATACAGTGCTTACTCACTTTATCATATAATTGTCAGTGATATAGGCCACTTTACGTAAGCGATTTCATTATCTGTAATTTGCTACATAAGCACTTTATAGGCCATATCTCGGCGGCCCAATTCATATCTGCCCCCCACGCGTCATATCTGTTCTGCACACGCCATATCCATCCTTCTTCCCTTTCATAATAGAATTGACACCATCAACCATCTGCTCCCAAATCGCCACAGATAAAACTGATTATGTATGTGTTATGTTAATGAACAATTATTGATTTTGTATGAAAACGATAAAGAGTCACAATAAGGCAATTTCGATATCCTACCGATATCCTACCCCATCTCAACCTTCGACCTATATCAGCCTTTTGGCATCTGATCATGAGCCTTCGAGATGATAGGGGTTCTCGTGCCAACTTGGATAACAATATTTTGATATGATAGCGTTTACAATATATTAAGTTTGTACAAAGAAAATTAGTAGTATGTGAGCTTGTAATACTTGGTAGGAATTATCATATTGAATGACTGACCTTTTATGAATAGTAAAACCAATTAATTATTTATCAATACATGTGTTCTGTCAAATACCATCGTATTACATTTCTTCGTATTATATCATCTATGTGATTCAAGTACGTCCTTTAATGCCTACATCTCCAATTATTTCACACACAAAAAATGCAAAATTAAAATTGTCCACTTTAGCGTTAAACACGGGTTTAAATTACAACAGACGGCATGGACGGTTAAAAACCTTATTTTTTGGAAATTTTAAAAATGTTGTTAGTATATGGGAAATCTTGTGGCTGAGCATTACCATTATCTATTCCTACACGCTGACTCACTCTTTGGTAACTTTAAATTAAAAATATGACATGTCATTCACTTTATTTCACCTAACTATATACTATTACTATGTTTATAACATAAGCAGAATATATATTTAGCAATCGTCAAGACCCAGAGATACTGCACAATCTTTGCTTTAATTGGTGAAGCTGATCTGTGTAATTGATGATAATAACAGCCTTATTTTACAGCCGCAGTTTAATCAGCCACCATCGAACTCTCCCCCAGAAATCATATATAGCAGGCAGAGCGCGTCTGCTAGTGATTCTGATGGGGCAGAAACTGATGCACATAGTTCGACTCTTAGCGACGTGACGGTTCTAAGATATGCACCTGTTAGTAGATCTGAAAGTGATCGAAGTTCATTAGTGTCAGCATGGGATGAAGTTGTTCAGAGAAGCAATTCCAATTATGTCCCCACGGTATCCGGAGGTAAACATCCCGTCAGTGCATTCGTGGAATACGCACACGCGAATGGAGAAGTTGGAAGATTTAAAGAAGAATTTAAATGTGGTCCTTCTCATTGCCCAACGTATGTATGTTTTTAAAAAAAATAATGCATGTCTCAACAGAGTTTTGGATATTTCAGAAATACATTCATTGAAAATAAGAAATAGAAATAAAGATTCCATTGAAGTGTTTTATGTACATACAGAAACGTCCCCTTTTCGGTTTGGATTTACCAGAAGTCGGGCTCGGCCATGTAGCTACCATTGATCAGGAAGCCCAGTTTGTTAGAACAACCCTATTGTGGTCGGACTTCCAGGGTTACAATGCTGATCTGTCATCGTTGCTTTTTTATTCTTCGAACCCTATTGCTGGTTTTATTTGGATGTTTCTGTTATCTTATTATTTTCCGAAAGGTTCTGCAAGGTATGATATTCTCTTTAGAAGTTAATTTAAGAAAGGCCAATAAATATGTTCCAATGCATAGTGACACGTTTTTTGCAGAGGCACATGGATTCTTTTTATAAGGTCTATATCACCGAAGATGCAAAGATAATTATTTAAAACGAAACTATTTTGTTTCGGTCTTGTTATTACTTTTTTGGGTCCATTTTGGGTCGAAAGCTGTTCTGTTGAGGTTAGTTGGGTATAAACATCAATCTAAATATTTCTTCTCATCCAAGGTTTTCTACGTAGCGCTTCTTTCAATACTTTTTACAGTTGTCACAATGACCTAATATCACTATATGATAATTCGTTGGCAACCACGATGAAGGATCTGTTCGGTATGTATTAGGTAGTTGGTAACCTAAATGTTTTCTGAGTTGTTTCCCTTTTGTTTCTTTTTAGGGGATCGTGCTTTCCTTCGATTCTTTTGCTGTTAAATACACTATTCTAATTTTGCCTTAGGTTTACTGTGCGGGCTTACATGGGTAAACGAATATTAGCCGCAGGAACAGGCAGCAGTAAAAAAAAGGCGAGGGTAGTAGCTGCTAAGGCGTCTCTTAATATGTTGGCATCAAGGCCCTCACTCAGGACTTTGACGTACCAAGGGTTCTCGGTAAGATGAATATAAAGATATTGAAGGTACTTGTAAAATTGTGGCGACCAGCTGCATGTAATATATTTGAATACAGAAAAAATGCTTCATAATTTCAGTTCGAAAGACAATATTTTTATTAACACATCGCTATCAAAGGGTAATAACTTTACTCTTTGTAATCGCCTCATAAAACAAAAGGACGGTATTTATAATTATATGGGTCTAATCATATAAAGCCATTTTGGATACTTTATGTGTTGATATGATTTAGCAACCATGTGTCAGATTCTATTTGTGAACCATTTATTGTTTGTTACCACCATGTTAAACAAATAGTTGTATCATGCCGTTATGTGTGTAGATAATTATTGAAAATGAGAAAGTTCCTTTTCTTATAAACATATCTTTGGACTTCATTTCTTTATATTATCAAAATTATAACTTATTATCTGCATATGCAATTTTCACCAACAAATGGTTGCTGTAAGGCTGCAAACAGCAAATCAGTGTGATATGCGACTTTTGAAAAATATACGAAAATGTACGAATATTTGTGTAATTGTTTCTTATGTCAGACCTTTTAGTCTTGCATAATTATTATTTTGCTAAATTGCTATTCAGAGTGTCAGTCTTCAAGTAGCTGATACAACACAATATCTGTTCGAATGTTGTGCATGTTTAGGTTTAACGGGTGTGCAAAATAATTTCAAAGATGAATGACACCTGTGCTTAGTTAATTAGGTGATGACTTATTCTATGAATTTCATTGGTTGGCGATTTCCAAACAATACGTCTTAATTATGTTTTTTATATTATGACCATTTGTGGTCAACGGTAAGTTGTTCAATCGGTACATTCTCTAGAACATCTAGAACATTTATCGCAGTGGTAGCATTATGTCAAAGAATTTACACATTTTTATGCTTTAAGAAGATTTACTGGGCTTAATATGACATATCATTAAATGTTGCTATCTAAAAGCTTGCACCTTTACCACCTGTAATCGACAAGAACGCTGGGATATGTCCAGCTGGTGCTGACCCGATCAGCATCCTCGATGAGTTTGCGCAGAACAAGGATTTAGAATTGACGTTTCCGGATCCGGATGTTTCCGGAGCAGATCATGGAAGAATGTAAGTTAACAAATGTTTCGTTTTAATACAGGTTTGTAACATGTGTTACAGAATTAGCATGATATTATTTTTTTTTTATTTTTTTTTTGCCGAATGAGACGGTGAAACAAAGAAATATCATATCCGGTCACCAGATAACGAATTTATCACATAACTGGTATTTTTCTTTAAATGACATGAAGTAATAACATTACCATTGTAAAGACCGTATTTTTTTTAATTTTCATGAGCGAATACAGTATATCGGCCAACACATAAAATTCAGAATTTGTGAAAATGGTTATACTTATTAATGGTCATTACATGAATTCAACCTCATTAACTTTGTACACAAATTTCCCTTCTCTTGTTTTACCCTTGGTGCGATGTTGGATAATGTGATATATCCCAGAGCGTCAGCCAGCACAATTAAAGAGGCAAACAGAGAGGCATCCCGAAACGCATTAAGACATTTAAAACAGATGAAATTTTGCCAGTTTACATCCGGGTTATCTGCGGTATGTAATGATTATTAAGTCCCCGAAACAAAGTGGGGGACTTCTTGTTTTTGCTGTATTTCTTCTTTCTCTCCTTCTTTTTCTCCCGCCAAATGGTTTCCAGAAAACCAAAACTTCACAGGAATATCTTTCTGATGCATCATTTGGGAGAAATCGTGGCATTTTTGAGGACTTGTGTGACCGTCCCCGTTACAATTTACAATTAAGACTTGTTCTAATTGAACTTTATGCTAAATATTTGTAATTGATGCTTTTTTTGGCATATTAACCTATACTGTGAATTTATGATACAAATGTTCAAATATAAATTACATTTAAAATCAATTCGTACAACCAATTTCAAGATTTATTGCTAGATACTTTTCCATGAATTTCGAATGGATTAATTATTCAGATATAATGATAAGTTCTAAGCCGATATTTTCCAAATATTTATTTCATTCGGAAAAAGGGTTTGAAATCTCAGGTTTAAATGAAAGAGAAAAAAGGACGTAGCTCCACCAAATTACCATAGCTACATACATGTAGAGAATTTCAGTAAGACTTTGAAGATATCAATTAAGTGATTTTCAGGTTTGTCAATCATAAATTTAGATTTTTAAAGAGGTTACCTCTAATGCGTTACTTCCACATTTACAGTTCTCGATAAGCGAGCCTTTGATGGTCCATGATATAATAGCTAAGCTCTGTCACGCGAAGTTTGACACTGTGGTTGCAGACATACCCGAGAACCTTGTCGGTCGTAAAGTGATAGCGGGCATCGTCATGGAAACAAAAACTACGAAGACGTTTGACGTCATCAGTATAGCCTCCGGTACATCTCTAATTATCGTACATATATATGTTTTTAACGACTGTTGATCTCCTTTTCATATTCACTATATAAAGAATTCAAATGTGATTTTGAATATTTACAACGACATAACAAACAGTTATTCAGTTATATTGTGAAAAAGGTAAAAATTATAACAAAATTTGGAAGGATGTCTATAAGGCCCTTTTTTGGGCCCCGGTATATTCGGATTTTCACCTCCTTATTTTATTCAAAGATGTCCTATTGTATGACATGCGGAAAAACTAAATAAAACTTTGACCGAAAGTGGGTTTCTTGGGGTACCAAAAGGGGTATGGTAAATCACAAATATATTTTGATGTTTTCAAAATGACTTTAAAAATAAAAATAATACCATTTCTGTTTTTGAAAACATGTATAAATTAGATAAACATATGTAACGGAATGAAAAATGACAGAAATTCAATCGTCACTTAAAGATTGTTTATATAAAAAGAAGGATTACGTCAGGGGTGTATTTTCGGTCATTTTCAATTGAAAAGTAATTTGTTTTCTCAATAATTTCCTTTCTAATTAATGATTTGACTTGAAATTTACAACTTCACTCATTTAAGTAGCCTTACATAGATTGCATATTGTATTGACTAATACTTTCCTTTTGTTTTATACTAAGTTTTGGCTTCTGGACACATCTCAAACTTGTTTTTTTTTAAATATCTCTCAATTTTATGTGAATTAAAAGATGCATGACACCCTTAATATGCTATAAGTATAAGATATCAATTGGACATACAATCATACAATAGGACATCTTTGAACAAAATAAGGAGGTGAAAATCCGAATATACCGGGGCCCAAAAAAGGGCCTTATAGACACCCTTCCTTTGTTATGTTTATAAGATGATCTTGGCAAACTGGTCCAGATTTTTGGGTTTCAGCTTACCTGGTCCGGTGAGCTTATGCTATGGCGGAGCACACGTCGTCCTTCGTCCGTCGTCCGCCAAATCATTCTTTGAAAACACTACTAGTCCTTAACAGCTCAGTAAAGATTGACCAAATTAATTCTAGAGCATATTTGGGCAAGAGGGACTCAATTTGTCTAAATGGAGAGTGTGCCCTCTTGCGGGCAGAGAGGCGGGGCCAAATAGGGAAAAATAGAAGTAAATCAAGTTTGATCTGGAGCATCCTTTGGCAATGCAGAGTTAGAGGATAATATATTTTAGTTTTTAAAACTTCGAAAACCCTTCTCCTTGGAATTGAATGATTTTAACCAATTTTGATAAAGAGTCTTGGGTAAAGGGGACTAAGTTTTGTATAAATATTTATGTCGAACTTTGGAAATGGTTAAGAACCCAACCCTATCATCAAATGTTCAACTGTTAGGCATTAAGAGGGGGAAGACATCCATGCTACCAGGATTATCTCGGAGGTCCTGACCCATCCCTAGGATGTCAATCCCGTGTTCATAACATGGAAACAGTTGAAATTCCCACCCCGTACCTATATACAGGATTTAATATGATTATAACGCTAACAAATCATGATGCAATCGAGTCCTGGGTCAAGCATGGTTAGCTTAAGTTAGGTTACTCATAATCATTCATCACAGTTGCATATGTTTGTTGAAGGGACCCGCTTTATAAAAGGGGCTGCACTGACGACAGATGGGCATGTGCTGGTAGACTCACACGCTGAAATCCTTGCTGCTCGTGGAATGCGAAAGTGAGTATCGGACCAAGATAACAAATTGTTCTATGACAAATCATACCTGTGTTGCACTTCCAGTCTAATACTGTGTGAGTTTCATTTTCAAAGGCATTCACTTAATATCAAACTGGTTTGTAGTAATTAAAATATACTTTTGTATCTCAACATGAATGTCTCTTATTGCATATAACTTTTATCAATAATATATATCTGGATAATGAGATCAATATAATCTATTTACAGGTTCCTTTATTACCACTTAACAAAACTCAGCAAAGGGGAAAAGTCCACCGTCCTCCAAAGAATCGAGGGGGAACAGGCTGAGTTAGCTCCAGATATCCAGTTTCATCTGTATATATCCACCGCACCATGTGGAGACGGAGCAATATTTACGCACAGGTATCTGTAATCATATCCCTCATAATACCCATACTTTGGAATAATTAGTACCAAATTCCTCATCAAAATAGCATGTTATTGTGAAAACCATTTTAGTTTATTCATTTTTGCAGGAAAATTAAGTGAAAGTGTTGCTCAAAGTGTCATATATAAGGATTAAAATGGAAAAACATCAAAATATGAGTAAATTTTAAAAAAGACACAGTGAACAACACTATTTTTGGTCTTTTAAATAACTTTAAATTTTATATGAATTAATCTGAGAAGCCTATTGAACATAAACTTATAAAGGTAGTAATGTATGCGCTTTGACACGCTGCGCTGGTAGTGACGCGGTCGAATGTTCCAGAACGAAGCCGATATTGCTTTAACTGTCAAAGAAATTTAAATGCACATCAATGGAATGCAAAGTTTGAAAGAATCGCTTTGTTGGATAACAAGACATAATGGATCCCGCATATGTTCCATGTTTCCAGTTGTTGAGGGAACCACGCAAACGCTGTTATCTCACTGAACCGGAAACAACGCCGTATTTGAAACAACTGTTAATTCGTCGAGCCTTTTTTACTGCGTATACATCAACTTGTACGCAGAGGTACTATGCTGAAGAAGGGAGAGATGTGAAAATAATAGACTACAATAAACAAATTATAGCTATATAAAGGTATTTAGGATTTAGAATTGAAATGTTGTCCTTTTAATAAAGTTGATATATATTTGCGATTTAACTTCTCAAATAAAGGTTGTTTATGACGAATTCCCCATGATGACACAGCTCTTATTTTAAACTCTATTTAAGGTTAAAATCTAGTCAAAAATTGCAAACCCATTAAAAAACAGATTTCACAATAAGGATCCAGATGTAATATAGTAAGCAAAAAACTGTCAATTGAATTTAAAAACTGTATTAAAATTCCAAAAATGGGAATTTCATTGAATGGTCTCCTGTCCTAAAAGGGAACGAACCCGCCACGCGATATGTTCGCCTCGTACTGACCAACAAATATCGCGGCTGATTGGCGTCAGAAGAACGTTGTATAATTTTCCCATAACAATTACAATGAAACAGTTATGTCTTCACGTTACTATTAATGGATATTGTACGTAGAGTGCGACAGACTGCACACAACCTGATTAGCGGTTAAATCGGGCATACACAGTTGGGAGCAAACATAACTTGGTAGCCAAGTGTACTTGAGTTAACAAGAAAAGTGAACTACAGTTCACTAGCTTTTGCACTGGAGTTAACACTGAAGTGAACTGGAGTTCACATCGATGTGCATTGGAGATCACATCGATATGAACTCCAGTTTACATCAATGTGCACTGGAGTTAACTACAGTTTACAAGGTAATTGTCAATATCATTTGATGGGGTCTGGCCTTTTCATCAGTTTATGCATACTATGATTTTCTTCCCTACCGTCTCCTTGATGAATCAATTAATCTATAAAATAGTAGATGTTACCTATTCATATACATAAAATGATTTAAGCAGCACCTTTTATGAAAATAGCATAATAACTATAGAGCGTGATGACTTATTAAATTATTCGCAAATGCACCGACTTGGATCCATTGTACATGTATTGGTGGTTGAAAGTTTATAATACTTTATCTTAAAGTCACCATTAAAGTTCCTTTATAGTTATAACAGTATTACGTCTAAATAAAATATATCAACAAATTGTTAAAATAATTGGTACATGATAGTGTACCATAAGTATTTTTCTGTATAATGCCGGTAACTACATGTACTGTGAATAAGAAAAAATACTATGTACTAAATATATATATTGTCTCATTCATGATGGGTATCAATGTACTGTAGTTACACGAATGCAGATCTGAATTCAAACAAAATATTTATTTATAGAAACAAATAAATATGTAGGAATCCAAATTGACATTTTTACGTGTAAATTTAACCTGTCTGAAATCTGTTGAAATGACCTGAGGGTGTGTGTATTACACAAGGTATAGGGTCTGATGTCAAATTAAATTTACCTCTGATCAGAACCCAGGGGCAATATATAAGATTTTTTAAATTCAATCTATTACCAAATGTACATTGCATATAGGCGTAAAGTAATAGACATAAAGATCAATACTTCTAAAGAATCTTGTACAATGGCAGAGAACATATGCAATAGATTCAATTCCATACATAATAATTACAAATTCATGAAATTGTCATAAGTTGGGGAAAACTTAAAGCTTTTCCTAAAGTAACTTAGCGGACTCTTAAAAATCACAATTCAGTTTATGAAATTATACAAATAAAGCCTTAAGCTAACCAAATTCCTAGGAAATAACAAAACTTCAAAGTCAATTATACAACCTCAACATGAAGGTAGAACGATTACTACATATTACATAATGAAATGAGATTATAATCTCATTGTGAAGTAAAAGACATAGATCTCATTCATATTATACAGTAACAAAGCGTTTATAGCAAGAATAAGAGATGGAAAGAAG